TATATATATATATATATAAAACTCGATGCGAACGAAACTTTTCGCAGCAAACGAGACCCAAACCACACGATGTACGAATTTACAATCTGACGTTCTACTAACATGAGCATCAGACCGGAAATTGGCACTTGGTAGGTTCGAGCTCTGCTGCACGAGGGGAAGCTTTATTGAAAACCAAATGGTGTAACAATACAATTTGTCACGGCCTTTCAACCGCTTAAATTCTTTATTGATATTATGCAAACAGTAATATCTGCACAACTCCTATTCACGCGCGTGTTTTGACCATTCCATGTTTAACCACGAGTATGTGACTGCGGAATGAATCAAATTTGGACTCATTCTCAGAAGTGAAGTGAAATTTCGTTGGGGCTTAGATTTTGGCGTAGAAGAATACTCGAATATCAGTGATCGAGAGATACGCAGTCAGCTATATCAATTGAACACTCAGAAAAAAAGACGTTGAGATGTCGTATTTTTTTAATGAACGGCTTCTTAAGAAAAAGAGAACCTTGCGCGTTTTTACCGCTGCACGCGAATCCTCATCGTCGTTATCGTTCTCACCAAATTCATCTTCATCTGAGCTTGCTTCATCTTTGATTTGCTTAATATAAATAACATAAACTTACTCAATACATTAATAATGTGCATTAAAATTTCATTCATCACGTTGTTGACGTAAGCGCGAAGATCGTGTTAAATTTCGAAATAATTCAAAACAAAAAATGACAATCCTAAAATGAGTGCTCACTTACTAGGTTTCCACCAAATAAACAATAATATCACACTAGTTCAGAGAAAAACGACAATTCAAATCAAGTGATCGTCAATAATCAAAAAATACCGACCAGCATCTTAGCTGTTTTCACAATTTCTTCACCATCTTCGTTCGCTTCGTTAAGTTGACGACGAATCTGTGCTTTCAACGCGAACTGATTCATAACTTGATTACGCCTATGAACGAATGATCAGTTGATGTTATGAAAAGAATGGCATGTTGCAAGTAATCCGTAAAATTATTCGAATGAAATACCATGGTCAATTTCATTCTCGTTGCAATTATATGAGAACATTTGAAAAACGAACCAAAATGAATCACGAACAAGAGCAATAGTAACAGTAACATGTGCACAAAAAAAACGAACTGTTGAAAACGTTCTTCAGCTTGATCGATATTCAGCACGGGATGTTGAATGCAAGGTAAGAACTGGTACCAATCATCGATTTTGAATGCATGAAACTCTTCACCCGTTTTCATAAAGATCCAATAATCGGCATGCTCACCAGCACCACCCTCTCTAATACTACGAAATTTACGCTCTTTTCCATCTGCAACAATCGCTGGGAAATGCTTGATGAAATGCTTAGCCACATAATGAAATGCTTCGTATTTTTAAAAAAAAAGTTATTTTGCAAAATAATTTTTACGACAAAATCAGGAGATGTAACAACTCCAAAAAGTAACGATGGCTTTCCGCCAATTATAAACTGATTCAGAAAAAGAAGAATGGATCGAGCTAACGGATTCGTTGGCAATTAAAAAAGCAAGTTTAACAACAGAAGAGAAGCAAATTCGTAAACGAATGATTATGAAGCGTTCGCAACCGGTGACTAGTATAATACCGAAACAGTCAAAAAATTGCCTTGATCCTCAATGACCAATCTCCACGGCTGATTATCTAAGTGGTATTTACGCGTCTGATGGCCGTATTTCTTACGACGAGCCTCTTCCCTTGCTGCTGAGCCATATTCTGTGCCTGCACCATAATCCTGCAGCGTTCCATGATCAACAATGAACTCTCATTTTATTACAATCATTATGCAGAATATCACTAAATAATAACTCTACACAAACGAACCTGCTTGACTTCAGTGGCAGCTGCTTGCGCCGCATTATCTTCGCGAAACATACGAACCGAATGCTGGTTTGTCCAACGGCCCGGATCCACTGCAAGCGATCCGCTAAACTTGATGATCGAATGTCGCCTATTGCGGCTTGGTCTGTAATCCGAAAATTCACAAAACAAATAATCGCTTTCGATCACTGAGTTACACCAAGCGATCGAGGAACGCATACTTAAATGTGCTTAACGGAAATTGAAATGTTGGTAATTTTCTTTTGAATGACAAGAATAGAAAGATGAACATAACAATCATTAAAGTAAACAACTAGTGAACATACTTGGGAATATGTACGACATATTCGGATTGTTTCTGTTGAACTGACGACATTGACACTTCTGAAATAATCAATGAAATTTTTGTTGCAAAATCGAATGCCGTTTGATAAATTATCATAAACTGATATGCGGAATTATGCACGTGGTGTATGGGTGCATACGAATGCAGTTATAATGTATTCAGCCTCTCACAATGTTTACATCTTAAGACACACGAATTGCACCAGTAAAAGATGGATATTTAAATAGCTAATTGTGACGAAATGTTGAATTTACTCACTCAAACATCCTAATCAAGAACAAATCATGCGTACACGTGTGATAAGATAAGATTTAATCAAACTGAAATATATCGTGATGATAATGCAAATTTAGATGCAGCAAATAGAGCAACTGAAAGATCGATAGCTAAAATTATTTTTATTCAATGATAACAAAACAATTCGTTTGTCTCGAAAAAGAATCAGCGAGACTTTGACACAGATTCAACGCATCGAAAGCAAGAAATAAGAAAGCAAAGACCGG